CACCCATTCTCACCTCTTTGTCACAGTTTCTGCCCTCAAGATTTCAAAGTGAGGAAGGCACTTCACAGTGATGATCTTTGAGGGAAGGAAATCCTAGAGTCTGTCAGAAATAAATGAACTCCCCAAGAATATGGTGTTTACTTTGGTACACTTACCTTTTGCCAAGTTGTGTTTGTTATGCTAGGATTCACATTAGTAGACAGCAAGTAGAAGGGAAAAGCAACTCATCCACCACTTTGGAATAGATTTCTTACCTGCCTCACTGCAGATAAGGGCCGTTATTGATCTGATTAGGGTGGTTTAATTAGCAGAGCAAACAGACTCCTACGTTGGAGAAAGGTTAAATGACTTTTGTGCTTGACCTAGAGAAATTACCTAGACAACCAGGACTTAAAGTTTCTCTGTCTCCTAAATGAGCCTGGTCAATGCTGTGCCATCTAAATGAGTGCATCTGCTATGGTTTGGGAACTACTACTCCAAAGATAAAGATTGTAGGGAGCTTTTGTAAACAGACAAATTTCACTTGTCTCCCATTCCCTACAATGGGGTAAACACAGCCTGTGAAAAATATTGTGAGATTCAAGCAAAATGTATACTCTCTCAGTAAATGAATGTTAGTAATTTGAGGAAAGTGTAATATTGCCATAATAAAGAATGCTTCATGACAAAATTATTTGGTTATTGCTCAAATGAGGAAACAGCACTAATTACAACACTTTTTTTTTTTATTCTTCTGTAGCAAGCAGGATTCTCTGGTTGCAAACATAAGAAGCCAACTCTATAGCTTATGGAGAAAGATTGTGGAAGGTCCTGGGGGCGGCTCATAGGCAGGAAAGGTAAGATGATAAGGAAGCTGATAGAGACAGGACACACTTAACTCTGGGGACCTGGGGAGCTGGAACCAGCAGGTGTCTCTCCTAAAGGGCAGTTGAATAAAATGAGTTCCTTATCGAGTCCAGTGACAGCTTTTATAAATGGTGACCAGGGAGGAATGAGCCCGCATGAAAAAGAGTGATGTCTAAGAGGCAAACATGTGCTTTAGAGCTCCCAATCAATATGCACATGCCTTATTTAATGTTGATCCCTTGATGAATTACACCAATGTGAAACTGGAAACAGCCCAGCAAATATTCTACCTAAAGAATATACCTTAAAGAATGACAGTATGAGGAATCATATATTTTTTTAAACCTGACTATTCTACCTTGACACCCATCAAAGTAATGAAAAAATATGGGTTAAATTGTGCAATGATAAATTTAATAAGGCTGACAAGCCAAAAGAGGTCATGGAAGGGAAGGGCAATGAGAACAGGAAGGAAATCTACCCTTTAAGTGGAAAAATAAGTTAAACTTGATCTAGGCAGGATTTATAATGAACTGAAAATTAGTTCCTTTCAATAGGTGTTAAATGTTCTTAAAATAAATACCCTTTATAGCACCATGAGGATACCCAGCCACAGCCATTGGAAAATTTTATTGAACTGCTTTTTAGTTTAACAGACTTTCAGACAATAATTCAGATGATATTTTAGCTTTAATTGTTTCAGAACCGAATCTATGTGTCTTGATGATGTAATGATAGAGTTCATAAGAGTAATTACACGAGATAAATTATGTCCTTTCCCTAGCACCACAATAAACTAAAGAGAGTAGTTTTAATTTGGGAGCCTGGTGTTCAATCTCACCATTGTTATTGATGTAATTTTGGCAGCATTTGAACCTTTTTAATTCTCAATCCCATCATATGAAAGGGGACTGGTAATGTATCTTCAGTACTGTCTACCTCACAAAATTGTGAAGTACATCAAGCAAAAAGATTGGTGGTGAAATCATTTTGCCAACTCTACAGCACCCTATAAATTAATTGAAGGATTGATTATATTTATGTTGACATGCTATCCAACAATAAATTTCATGGAAATGTTGTGAAGCTTTAGATTTCTTGACCAGAGGTCTTAAAGGGAGTATCCATAGAATTTACATTCATCACAACCATTTGGAACAGTATTTCGAAAACCAAAACAACTTTTGTAAAGAGTTAATGCCAGTGTGCTAAGTTTATATTATAACCCTTAAAGGAAGTAACATAAGTCTGTAATGTGTCCATCTCCATAAATGATTTCTTTTTTAAGACTGTGTGAAACAGCATTAAAAATTAAGCTGCAGTTGTGACACTACCTTTGACATGAAAGAGTATGAACATAATTAATATTGCATACAAGTATCTCCAAGTATTGGGTAGCGAGCTCACTGCTTAATTGTTCTGAAAATGATAGGGTATGTTCCCTTTAGGCTACATCACCACGATTTTTTTATTTGCCCTTTAATAGGAATCATACTGTATTTTTAGTCTAGAGAAAACAGTGTCTGTGGGAACCATGTCTCCCACCCATATCTTGGCAGTAGAAACTAGTGTCTCAGATCAAGACTATTTACTGGTCCCCATGGCAACAATGAGCTTTATCTTGCACAAATCCTAATATCATAAGAACCCAATGGTTCTTTAGTAGAGTATCTCAGCCCTTAAGTAACAATCTTGATGTGAGCTATAATAATTTAAATAGGACCATTTTTAATAAAATATTGGTATAAAGCTAGAAAGTCTTATAGAGCCTCTTCACCAGATTTTCATTTGGGAATAAACCCTCTGCCTTTTCTGAGTAAAGACACTGGGCCTTCCAAAGAAGTGACTGAGTTAAAGTCCTGCTTTTTGTTACCTGACAGAGCAGTAAGTGGGGGTGCAACAGTGGTGGGGCTGGGACATGTAGCAACACTCTATGTAGACCGCTGCCCAGGTGTATGGGTTGCCTAAGTTTGGGGACCACTGTCCTCTTGTTTCCCAGGCTCACAACAAGAAATGAAATCCCTAAAAGTTTCTACAGTGAGACTTGGTCACTTTCCAGGTTGCTAGATGTGGTATAGCACACTGGCTAAGAGTCTAAATGGCAGCATGAAAAGATTGAGTTATACCCATACATTGCTCTGGAGTCCATAGAAGAAAAAATGCTGTATGGGTAACAACACATTGTATTATTCTTTTGCCTCCTGGTCAGATCTGACAGTTGTTAAGCCTACAGGATTGCACATACATTTTTTATAAAATCCATGTTCCACAGAAGGTACTTCCTTCCATACAACTACATTATAATTTTTGTTGGAGAGTGTAGGTGGTGGTACTGATATTCTACTTCCTTTGACGGTTTCTTTTCCAAAGTTTAAAAGCCATTAACACTCAGCAGGTATAATTGAAATACTTTATATACTTTAGCACCATTCCCTTGTATAATCCCCTGTATGAGCTGTAACTGGCAGTGCTATACATTGATTTTTTTTAAAGACATTTAACATTTCTGTGCATTTTAACACCCTCTTTTGGTAATGAAAGCATTGTGGACCAACTCTTTCTCTGTTCTCTCTGGAAAGCCTGCTGTTCTTTCTCATTTTTAAGTGCTTCATGAACAAATAAAGTAACTTGGCATTGTCGCTAAGAGAAGTATTTCAATACTCTGGACCCACTGATGTTGATCTGAATAATTTGCCTCTGCCCTTTGCAATATAAAGGCAACCAGATGACAAAGAGTGTTGTACATCTAAGCAGATGAGAACAGTTCCAAAAATGGTTGAGCCTGCCCAGGCTTGCCTCCCAAGGTTCTAAACTGAGTGGCTTCTTCCCTCCCAGCCCCGCCTCCCCCCCTTCACTGAAATCGTCTAGTGAGAGTGCTAGTTGGGAAGGATTAGGCGAAGAAAGCAAATGAATTTTTATCTCACCTAAGTGAAAAACTTCATCTTATTCATGTTTGTATTCGTGCGGCAACTGACTCCATCAGTGCCTTGTACAGTTATAGGAGTCAAAAAAGAAAAATGGACAGATTTCCGAATCATCAAATGGTCTTTCTTGTAATATAAAGAGGAGGGAGGTTTTTATTTTTATTTTTTAAGTTATAGTCAGAAGAAAACTCTAAGCAAAGCACAAAGCATGAGTTTAGGAAACACTGCTGATGTAGTCATGTGTCTGCCTTCATGTATCTGTGACAGGTGTGCGTGATACACGAAATATGGCTATAAAATAAGGAGGCCTAAAACACATATTTGGATAATATATTTATTTTCCAGTGAAGTTTAATTAAATAAGTTATGTTAAAGTGCTTTGCAAACACCTAAAGTGATATCCAAATATAAAATGCTGCAATTATAGATTGTTCAACAGTATTTAATGAGCAGCTTCTATGATCTACGTCAATCAAATAATAACACTAACAAAGGGCTGGGTGACTTAGTTGATTGGAGTGTAATCCCACACACCAAAAGGTTACAGGTTCAATTCCAGGTCAGCACATATACCTAGGTTTTGGGTTCAATCCCTGGTCGATGTACATACGGGAAGCAACCAATTGATGTTTTCTCCTCTCAATCTCTCTCTCTCTCTCTGAAAATCAACAAACATATTCTTGGATAAGGATTAAAATAAATAAATAATAATAATTACATTATAGGGACCAGGATAAAAGTAATGACTTTGCCTACAGCTATACAACTACAGAAAAGGGAGAACAACTGATATAAAAATAGATGACAGGCAATAGAGGCAATGCGTACATGCATATACATTCTTTGGTTAATTTCTTCTCCCTGTCTCCCCTTCCCTCTGACATTTGACAGTCTGTTCCATGTTTCCATGCCTCCGGTTCTATTTTATTCATCAGTTTATTGTGTTCATTAGATTCCACATATAAGTGAGATCATGTGATACTTGTCTTTCTCTGACTGGTTTATTTCACTTAGCATAATACTCTTCAGGTCCATCCATGCTGTCTCAAAGGTAATAGATCCTTCTTTTTTACAACTGCATAGTATTCCCGAAGGCCTAAGGTGGGGTAGGAACTGGGTGGTGGTTGGCAAGTGGAGGGGAGTGGGCGGAGAAAGGAGGGACATCTGCATTACTCTCAATAATAAAAATAAATAAGTAAATAAAATAGATGGCACACTGTAGAGGCAATGTATATTAAAGACCATTTAATGATGAGGCATTCTTACCTGTCCAATATACAGTGGAGCTTTGAAATATACTTTTTACTTCTGAAAGAGCCATTTTATCATTGTATTTTCAAGTGACACCTCAGAAGCTGTCATTAAGAATAAAAATAAATTGAAGAATTGTTTCCTTCTCCACAGACAGTATTGCAATCTATGGGTACAGTGCAAATGTGGCAGCAGAAAGACATGCAACAAGACAAGTTCTCAGTAACTTCGCCCCTGAAGTCTCTATTGATTGTGTCTGTACTTATTCTCAGCTTCACTGTCTCACAGTTGGACAATGCCGCCCATTCAAAATAAACCTTCAGTTCTTGATTGCTCTGTATCAGGTTGCTGCCATTTCCAGCTGTTTCGTGATCAGAACATATTGCTTTCAAACTTGTCTCTCTTAGTCCTCGAAGCAAATGACAAGCACAGAAATACTTTGAAGCATCTTACACTTACCAGTGGTGAGTCTGTAACAAATAGAAAACAAATCATGACTAACGTTGTTATTGAAAGGTTGTAGTTTCCATTTACCTATACTTGTGGACAAGACATTTGTTGAGTTTTTAGGACCAGAGATTTTTCTCCTTCCATGATGGTTAAAATGTTACATGCGCGGTGAAAATACTGAAGGAAAGCAGTGATTTACTGTACTTGTTTCCTGCAAAAAGAAATCTCATTAAATAGCTTTTAGATAGTTCTAAACTATCTTAAATAAGACAAGCTCTTGTTTGTTAAAATATAGATCTTCATGAAATGTCTGTGCATTTTTCTAAACACCCGCTCTGCCTTATTTCTGTGTTAATGAATGGCTTAGATGACACATGTAACGATTTATGGGCATAGGTAGTTTTAATGAATCTCTAGAATGGTTAGTTCCTAAGAAATGTTTAGTAACAAGTAATTTTTGCCGAGTCTCTTGATTCTTCTTTGGGACCAATGACCAGCTGTGTGTGGTAAATGCTCCCCTGCTTTTTCAGCTTCTCCATCATCACTCAATTCTCCCGTTAGTGTCAACCTTAATGACCTTATTCAGTCTGGTTCCACCTAGCTTGACAGGATGCCTCTTCATTCATCAGGGCATTTCAATCCCCAATCCCAAATGCCCCCTGGGTTCCAGCTAGGATATGGAGAGAGAGGGTACAGCATTCCAAGTTTTTCTCTCTATTCTGTTGTCCAACAATTGAAATCAAAATGCCTTGAAATTACTTACTCCTATTTCAGCTCTTTTCTTCAAACTCTGCCTAGTATAACCAAAACAAAAAAAATATTATTTGTTGTACTTTATTTTAGCATTAATGTTTCTGCCTGTTCTATAGAGATAAGCCCTTGGATATGATCATGCTTAACTAGGCTGTGTATATAGGAAGCTAGAATAAACTTTAAATGATACACTATTATAATGAGTAAAGCCTTTTAAACACGGATTTATTTTTTATAGTCAATGTTTGGTGACAGTCTTCATAACTGCAACATGTGAGTAAATTAAGGGGAATACCAGTTCACAGAAATCTCTTTAGAAATGTATTTATTTAGGAATGTAACACATCATTAGGTACTATAAACAGATTACAAAGTACAAATTCGGCTTGGTTCCTGAAGTTAGGAATATTCTAATCTACTTTAAAAGGAGAATCATCAGTCTTAATAGAAAGCAAAAATAATTGAATACTGTTTTGTTTTGCTCTGCTTTTTAAATGATATATATAACTAAATTATTGAACAATAACTCAGTACTACCCCCACCCTTCTTGCTTACACTTAGAGGAAGGACCTTGCATGCCATATGAGTATCCACAGTGGGCACCTATGATGGGCTAGAGACCTTGAATCCCAGGAGGAATTTGAGACCAGTACTTTTGGGCTTTCTATTCTGTTGTTCAAGGGCTCATATGTAGAAACTTGAATGATCTTCTTGCAAATTTAAATATATATTTCTCAAAGGACATGAGCTTGGATAGAAGTGGAAGCAAGGGAAACTGTCATTTGCAAGGACACAGAAAAACAAAATCAAACTCTGTAAAGAGAACAAAAATGAAATGGATTTACCCGAGATCATCTCCTTGGATACCACCAGTTCAGTTAGAGCCAAATTTCCAATGATGACTTCAAAGCACCAGATCATGTAATCTGTTATACAAGGATATAGAACACAAACAAACCCAAAATTAAAATGCTGAGCCTGCCACCTGAGGTCCTTTGGGTTTCCATTATCTCCATCAATTACCCTAACCTTCAACCAAAGTGGACTCCTCAAATTAGTCAAACAGATTCTGTACCATACTGCTTCTCTGCTGTTATTCAAACTCTTCTTTCCAACTGGAATTCCTGCATTCTCATTTACCATTTATTTACTCAGGAACTCAGGACATATATACTTGTTGCTTGATCTGTGCCAATATCTGTGCCTGTCTCAATTCTATAGCAGCTTCAAGAGTGAGAAATCTAATGGGGGGGGCTGAGGACACATTTGTAATACCTTAATAATAATAATAAAAGGAAAAAATAAAAAAAATGTAATCTCAAAAAAAGAGAGTGAGAAATCTAATTCAAAACCATATGATTATTCCATGAAATCTTGTTTTATCTTTCTGATCAAGAGCTTAATAATCTATCCATTAAGTCATTTATTCAATGAAATAGTATATTGAACGCCTAATGTATGCTAAGTCTTTTTTGTTGTTGTTTGTTAATTCTCACTTGAGGACTGTGTTTTAGAGAGAATAGAAGGGAGAGATGGAAGGGGAGGGAGAAAAAAAGAGAGAAACATCAATTGGTTGCTTCCCCAATGCATCCCAACTAGGGGTCAGGGATTGAACCTGCAACCAAGGTATGTGACCTTGACCCAGAATTGAACCTGAGTCCCTTCGGTGCACAGGCCAATGATATCACCACCGAACAACACTAGCCAGGGCAAACATGCTAAGTCTTAACAATTCAAGTACACATGAAGTCTGTTCCCTGACTTTATGGAACTTGAAATCTAATTGAAAACCGAAACAATGAAATAGTAATTT